TCAGCCTTGATAGCTAAGCTTTATATTTTGAAATTAAGTAGTTGGAATCTGAGCACAATAATGCTGTCATCGTCGCATATATCGCCCCAGAGTATATAGGGAGAAACTATCTCCTTTAGTTTCTCATGTAGAAATTTCTTCTGTACAAAATGGGAAATAAACTTCAGTTATGCATTTAATGACACACTGAAGTGTTTCCTTTCTGAGAGTCTCAGTAAATTCAACATAACATTTTATATTCATTCAGAATAAGTTACAACTTTTGAAAACAGACTGTTTCACAAGTGGTACTCCTTTCTCCCCTCTTAAGGGAGAAGGGGAGACTGAAGCCTTAAAATATATACACAAAGTTAGGAAACATAAAGGTGGGGGAAACATATCAGTTGATTAAAGAATAAATAGTCAGAGCTATGTATATTTTTTTCCTCTTCAGTGACATATTTAGGTCAAAAAATATTCTGCCTAGTTTTGGGAAGATGTTGGAGAACATATTTGTACCTTTGTTTGAGGCAACAATCAACCCCAAAGAACACAAAGAACTGCACCTTTTCCTCAAATACGTAAGTATATTTGGATCTCTAGTGACTTACACAAAATAGATCCTCTCCTACACTTAACTTCTTTGTCAACAGCAATTGCCAGACACTAACAAAACCTTCTACTTTATATATTACTTATATAATGTATTATTTATATATTTTTTTTACAACTCTGGTAATTTAGTAAAAGTTTGGGTAAGTTCCTATTGTTAAAAGGTCACCATTTATTTACTCTAAAACAGCTCAACAACTATTTGTCCACCTAATAATCCTCTCTATAAAGAACGATCAGCAAATCTGCACATGCACTTGTGCAGAGGGAATGTCCTAATTCAGGATGTGTTCTCTGACCCTGCCTGTTGGGCTGGTCTCCAAAAGGAGGCAAGTGAAGGGAAACAATATGCAGTTCCTGATAGGACTCAGATGAGGCAGGGATGTGGCTGCTGGGGTCTGATAAAACAGAGACATTTCTGGGTATGCCACAGACCAGAACTTCAAGGTTTCTGGGGAACCTCGGGCCTTCAGCTACTTTCAGGATGACACAGCAAATGAGTTTAAATAATTATACTCCGGATCAGACTGAATTTCAGGGGACTATTTTCTATAAGAATACGAAGGCTTTTTTGCATCAGGGCCTCCTATTTGACTCAAAAGTCAAAATACAGGAAACATGTTTGAATTTTTTTCTTTTTCTTTTTCCTCTGTCTTCATTTTTTACCGTTAACTTGTCTTTCCGTGTAACAGGCAAAGTGTGCCACGTTCATCCTTGTTCTGTATCTATGCTTCTGCTGGTTCTTCCTGGAACTAGGGTCTGGAATCGATGTTGCTGTTCCGGCAGTGTTGTAGAGAACAGACATGAGTGCTGCTGTCTGCATGTTGCAGCGGGAGGGCAGAGCAGTGGCACTGATAGCTCGAGGAAGGAAGCAACTTACAAAAAGAGAAGTTGATGCTTCGTACTAGCAAACTGTGAAGCAAGAGTCAGTAATAACAAAGTTTGCTTCTTGAAAACACCAATTCCTGTGAATACCTTCTCCCACCAGGTGACTGGCTTTGACAGTGTTGATGATGAATCCAAACACAGTGGCCATATGTTCTCTGACAAGAGCCTTAACCCTGACCTCTGGACCAGTGAGAAGAATCCCCCGTACAGCTATTATCTGTATTACATGTATGTCAACATCATGCTGCTGAACAACCTTAGGAGGTAAATTGTTATTTTCTCTATAGTAGGTCTTCAGAGAGTAATAATCTTGCTCTCAATCTAAACCTGTGTCTAGATCACATATCTTTTGAAGCAAAGGTTATTTTGAAGAATTACTGTACAGAGTCCAAGAGGAGTATATGGAATATTTTGAAAATGTTTTCTGCAGAATGAATTCAAATGAAATATTCAGTAATTGCGGAGATATCATATTAACATCTTAGTTTGATATTTATATTTATCTGCTTTGTGAATCCCTTAAATCATAAGAAATTAAACAAAATAAAGAATTCCATGGCTTGGTGACCTCTTTGATTCACAATGAATTTTGAAGTTCAATATGGTCAGAACAGCTTCTCTTGCTAACTGATTGTCTCCTGGTATTTTTAGAGAAATGAGAAATTATGCTGTGAGATTTTGGTTTAAGAGCTACTGCCCTTATAGATCTAAGATATGCAAAAGAGAGCGTAATTATAAACTGTCCATATAACTAATTTACTTTGACATGCTTGTTGGGTCATTCAGTCTTACTACTTTAATGAGACAAATGTCTTGGCAAGTTATGCAGGCAGTTAGAGTATTAGATGTGATATCATGGCTGTAAAAAAAAAGATTTTGCCATTGCCTCAGTAGAGCCTGAAATTCAACCCCAGCTTGCGCTTCTGCCTTTGTGGCTGACTCATAGAGTGATTTGCACGGCTTACTCAACTTGAGGCACAGTGAGGTTATCCATTGATACCAAATACAGTGTCATCTCCTATCTTGTGAGGGGTTGTTTCATTACTATTTATACTTTTTTTTTTCTGAGATATAATTATAGACGTTACATAGACTATCATTTTAACAAGAGTCTTATTCAAGTTTTGAACATCTCCAGAAACTGCAGGATATTTTTCTACACAGTGTAAGCAGGGTCCACTTTAAGTTATAATCCAGCATAATTTTCAACGTGCATGATACAAATATAATACTTCCAGAAATTATAGTGTCAAATGCAATGAAATAACTAAGACTCATAGATAATCTCTATGCTAGGCAGACTGTGGTTTCATGCTACACTTAATTTAGTGAGACATCAGCTTGTAACCCCTGTGGGCAGTGTTAGCTCACTCTGGGTTACATACTTCCTCTTCTTCCCTCATACTTGGTCTAGGAATTATATGGCCACAGGTTGCCTTGTTTCACTTAGCTTTCCATTTGCCAATTCCTTCCCCTGAAATGAGTGTGTTAACTAGTCATTTAATAGTTAAGCAATTGCTAAATGAGAGGTAAACAGAGAATGAAGAGGATGAAGCAAGGAAGAGGACCGTATAACCATGCCAAGTGGAAAGGGCATGGGGACAGGGACCTGCACTTCTTGACCGCAGCCCATGGGTGGCATGTTAGATTAGATGTCATGTCAACCTTTATGAGAAAGACCGTCTTCATTTTAATCAATTCTTTAGTTTCCCATATTAATGATAATTACATACAAAGTAGATGAGGCTATTTCTTTTTAATTTCCTTAGGAAAAGAGGCATGTGTACTTTTCTGTTTCGACCTCACTGTGGAGAAGCTGGGTCTATCACACATCTGGTATCAGCCTTTCTGACTGCTGACAACATTTCGCATGGATTGCTCTTGAAGAAGGTATTGCTTGTTTGTTCTTCTAAACTAATCACTATCTGTGTAGGTGGTAGTCACTAGCCCAACTAGTAATCACTAAATACGCTTTATCTGGGCAGCCTCGAATTAATTTTCCTAGCATGGCACAAATAACTCCTCACTTTGACAGCAATAAGCTCAAGGAAATGCTGAGCGCTGTAGTCCTTACTTGATTTAAATAAATATCTGTGTTCCCTAGTACATATTTTAAAGTTGAGCCTTTATAGGGAAGACTGACTATGTAGGTATGTTAAGCACCTGTATTTGGTGACTGCAAAGAGAGGAAGAACTAAAATGGAAAAAAAAAAGAAAAAAAAAAAGAAAAAAAAAGCTTAAAAAAGCTTATACTTATTCCAATTCCCTAGATCAGGTTTCAGGAGAATTTCAGTTCCTTCTGCATAAGGACAGAAATGGTTTTTCCTGACTGGCATCCCTATCCTTCACTCAAAAGTTCATTAAGGTTTTGATCAGTTATAATCAGTGTCACTGGAATTATTTAATGAAGAAGTTAAATATAACTGGCAATCTTGTACATATAATTTGACTGTTATGATCGGGACAAACATTATCATTCCTGACACATCAGTATTAGCTGAATAAAATCCATCTCACAACTCCTCATGCCCAGGCAACATTCCTGCAGTTAAAATAATTGGTCAGTGGGTGGCAGATTTGCACTGAATTTAGAATAGTTCTGTTGCAAGAGTTCTATAATTTGGTTGCTGATTAATGTAGGAAATCTCTCTCCATATTTTTAGAAGTATTTAAGGACAAAGAAAAATCTCGCCTAAAATTATGTTTGATGTTTCTATCAAAACCAGTATTCCTAAAATTAGAATTTTAGGACTCAGACATTGCACTAAGACATACATAACTAAATATGTAGTACATAATTAAAACATTCTCCTTTTTACTCTCTCCTGTTTATTATCTCTATGAGACCAAGGATGGAATAAACCTGGCATAGCAGATAGACATGATAAAGGTTCTTGTCATGTTCAGTGTCTGCTTAATCCAAAAGTAATAGTGAATAAAGATGAATAAAGTTGACCTGGAGATTATTTATATTATGTACATGGCAATACATGATGTCTAATAAGTTTAACTTTCTGCTCCTAAAATACACCTATTAGACTGCAGTTTTGGAAGTAAGATTGCTTAGCTGTTCTGATACATCTGTTGTTTATTATGTTAACATTTCTAAGGAGGAGACTGCATTTATGTTTGAAAAATGTAAGTTATTTTTATAAAAAAATAGTAACATGTAAAATTTAGGTTCTTAAATATTTTTTAAATTTTACAAGGAAAGCCATGAAGTTCAGGGTCAACTTAAGAGTCCTTAGTCCTCCCTCTGTAATTCTGATTCCATTTTCTCTAAAGGAAAACCTTTTAAAATTATCCCGTAGTGACACTAAACAATTGTTTTGTTTACAGAGTCCAGTTCTCCAGTATCTTTATTATCTTGCACAAATACCTATTGCCATGTCTCCGCTTAGCAACAACAGCCTATTCCTGGAGTACTCAAAAAATCCACTACGAGAATTTCTACACAAGGGGCTTCACGTCTCTCTCTCTACAGATGATCCTATGCAGTTTCATTACACAAAGGTAACATTTGCAAAAAAGTCTCCTCTCTGAATTTGGCAACAGCACAATATAGGCCCAAAGGGCCTGAAAGGTATTTTGTATCATTGCTTAGGATGCAAAGTTCATGTCTTTTTAGTCACTCCATTCATTCATTACTCTCCCTCATTTTCAGTCTAGGACTTACAGTTAGGTTTCAGAGGGAAATGTCTGATCTCCTAATTATGTTTCTTTTGTACTCTCGCCTCTCCAGTGTTGGCTGTTGAAGTATAGAATGGAGGAAGGATGAGGCTGGAGGGAGGCTTGAGCCTTCATAAATCCTCTAGAGTAAAAGGGAAGTCCAGTTTCCTTACTAATAAACGTGAGGAACATGGAAACATTACCAACACACCACGTGGAGGCTGAGGATGAAGCAGAGGCTGCCTGCTCTGCGCGCTGGCACTGATGCGCACGGTGAGGGCCTGGCAGGAGATGGGCCTGCTCCCCCTGCTCAGGGAGCCCTGAGTCGCACTAAGCCATGGGCAGCCCGGCTCTGTGTCCAGAGGACAAGTGGCACCAGGCAGCCATGCCTGGGCTTGCTTCTCCTTGCCTGCAAAGTGGCCCTGCTGGAAGCGATGGAGAGCTCTGGGCGGGGGGACCCTCCCCATGGATATAACACTGTGCCAGCCGACGTGCGTGTAGTGCAGGGCAGCCCCAGCTCTTACAGCTGCAAGTCACAGCCCACCTCCTTGTGCCGAAGGGCAACAGCGAGAAATGGCCCAGCATGTCTGTCCCTGTTCATGCTCATCAGAGATGTGAGCATGGATCCCCCAGTGGATTCACACTCTCTGGAATCTCAGCAGAAATTATGTGCATAAATCTCTTTGAGGACCATAGACTGGAATTTCTTCATTCTAGAAAATTAGGTACACAGTGCCTATTAATTAATTATCATCCTTGAGAAATTTGAAATAAAGAAAAATCTGTTCACTAGTAACTTTTAATGTGAAAGTCTTAAATCTCTAATTTTACAGAGCTATCAAAGGAGCATGTGTAACTTCCTTAAACAGTAATGAGCATATATCCATGTTTATATCTTATTTATATATCATTTGATGTAACCATATTTTGGTGATACAGGAAGCTCTCATGGAGGAATATGCTATTGCAGCTCAGGTATGGAAACTCAGTACCTGTGACTTGTGTGAAATAGCAAGAAACAGCGTATTGCAGAGTGGACTGTCAGATAAGGTAATTGTATCTGAAAAGCAACTTATTTGGGGTGTGTGTGTGTGTATGTGTTAGTATTAGGGTGAGTAGGAACTGAGATGCTAATACAGTTTGAAAATTGAATAGCAGGTGCTTGTGTACTGTGTTTGCATGAGTACATCTCTATCTACCTGTCCAAAAGTATTCTGAAAGTACCTGCTTTGCAGTCTTAAACAAAAAATATTAAAATTTTATTAAAGTTAATAATTGGATTTTCCAAAATCTATACAGAAACCAAACACCTGTTTATACTTAGCTCCCTCCACTCCCAAACGTTTAGTTCATTGGATTTCTACCTCTCAGCTAGTAATTTTATACATCATACCTTGCACTGAATAACAATAAACTACCTGTTGTTAAACAAGATAATGATCAAGTTAGCAGGAGTGCTGCAGAAACTCTTCTGTTTTACGAAGGCAATCAGATTAATTTCCCATTTGTCTTTAAAACTCTAAATCCATGACAATTTCTAAGACTTACTTCAGAGCATCCTATTTAATGTGTCACATTCAAAGAGCTGCTAAGGAAAGGCTTTTCAAGTATATTCTATTGTTTCTTCTGGTATTCTCTAGTAACGACTTCAAATTTTTCTTGTGCAGTTTTATCATAGTTAACCAAAGAAATCTATGCTTCTTTTTGCCAGATTGAGTGTACCACTGGAAATAATTATATATGTTAGCCTTAAAATCTTAGCACCTGCTAAGACACTGAGGTAAAGATCATCAGCCAGCCAGCTGAAGCTCCTCATTTCACTTGCATCAGAATTGTTCAACTAACATACTTAGTTATGCAATAAATCAATGTAACTAGACTGACTTCTTCCTCTATGTTTAATCTTTTCCATAGGAAAAACAGAAATTCTTAGGCACAAATTATTGTAAAGAGGGACCTGAGGGAAATGACATTCGAAAGACAAATGTTGCACAGATCCGGATGGCCTTCAGGTATGAGACACTGTGCAATGAACTTAGTTTCCTGGCTGATGCTATGAAAACAGAAGAGATTTCTGCTCTGTCAAAGTAGTTTCAAACCCAAAGAAACTAGAACCTTTCCTAACCACAATCACGTGCTAATCAATATTGAGTCATCAGTCACTGAGCACTACCAGGACATCACTGTTTGAGCAATATGGAAAGAAATCGAATATGTATGGAAGGTAAAACAACATTTGTCATTATCTTTTACCACATTATTTTCATTGCAAAATTTTCTGTTTCTATAAACTTTAGGCTTTGCAAGATTTCTGTAAATGTTGGATGCCAATTCATAATCATGTATCATTTGTTTCATACCGATTTAACTGTGCGCTGTATTGTAGCTTGGAAAACTACAAAGCATATTCATACTGCCTCTGTGCTGCTGCTGAGGACACTGTAGCTGCTGACAGGATATGGGCACCTGTTTTTGTCCTGCCAATCAGGGCATATAGCACTTGTAAGTTTAACTGTTTATTAATTAGTAGATTATATGGGGTATATAATTCCGACATTTCTTGTTCATTCTGGAAGGTGGTCTGACAGTTTTTACCTTAATGTTTTAGCAGTTATACTGGAAATCAAGAAAAAAAAAAAAAAAGCTAGTCTCTTTTCATGATTAAAGAATTACCTCCTGTTGTCACCTAGTAGTTGGATGGCTATGAAGAACAACAGATTAATGCTTTTTAATCTAAATAGAAATCATGGTGTCAAAATCATCCTTACTGTACACTGTAATAATGAGTGCAGCTGCATTATGAAAATATTGCCTTGAAAGCAGAGAAAACTTTTTTTTATTGCTTGGTAACTAATGGGAATATGTGGGTATCCCTGTTCAAATTATTTGGAAATTCATGGTTGCATATGAAGAAAAAATTTTTACTTGAACAGAATAAGTGTTCTTATCAATCAGTAGTAGAAACTCTGAAACTGTGTTCTGGTGCACCTTCTGGCATCTTTTTACACATTTATGTTTGTTTGTATTTTAGTCAAGGATTTGAATAAGAAGTCAAATTGTTTATTTATACAGAAGGTTGCCCACCTAAACTAATAATTTCAGATCATTTTATATTAAATGTTTTATTTATGATGGAGTGGATTAGTATTATATTTACCACTTTCACTCTTTTTTCTTTTTCCTTTTTGATCATCCTTCTTAAAAGAAAGGTATTACTATTATTTCACATCAAAGGTAATGACACGGTAGCATATCTCTACCGTAGAAGCTGCAGGTTATTTTATACCAAAAAAGACTCAAGGCTGGGGTAGCAGAGAACGTAGAGGCCTGGCAGTCCAATGTTACACTGTTTAACTGGAAGGCATGCAGTCCCTGAGCCTACGATCAGCCAACGCGGCATCCAACCTAATACACAGGGGAGTTTAGGATCTTAGAGCAGGAATTAGTAATTAATGCACAAAAAGCAAATAATTAGTGCTAGCCCAGGTACAGGGGCCCTGGGAGACAGGGGCAGCCTTCAGATCATCCAGGCCTCACTACAGTTAGCCGGAGTCAGGGAGATGCAATATGTACAAGGTATATTTATCCATCCAAAACATAGTTGTAGACAGATGTTGGAAGGCTTCATTCTAGCACTTCAATTATCTGGTGAAAAGTCTGCAGTGCTCAACTAGGGCCAGATTTTGTACTACTTGTGCACTTCTAAAAACCTTGTTGAAACAGTGCTACTGGTACTACTCAATTCTGTTAACAAATTTGTCCAAAGTTGTGAGTCAACCCTGCCTATTGGCCTCACTGACTGTTAGAAATTTTTGGTGCTCATATAGCAGAATCTTTAATTTTCATAGTACAAAGCTTGAAAGAAGTGGTTCCAATATTTTAGCGGTATGAAATACAGAAGCCTTGTTCTCAATAGTACAGTGCACTAAGATATTCTTATAAACATATTGCTATTGACCTGAAAAAGTATGTGTTCAGTTTGAATATGCAAAATATCTGGTTTGAATAATTTATTTTTTAGTTATATTCATAGCATAAAGAGAGTCACTGCTTTACTCAGGTTCTTTTGCCTAAAGATTGCTATTAGCTCTTCTTTTGTCTGTCACTTAAGATACTATTCAGCTTTTAATATTATCCCTTTTTTTTCTGTATGTTTAATACCTTTCAACTTTCCTTATCTCAAACATATAAAGTTTTAACAGTTTTGTAGTTCTTATGTAAAAACCCACAACTGGATTTGAAGCTTGTTATGGGCTAGTCATCTGGATTTTGACAATAATGACCACAAACTGCCATTACTGCAAGGAATGACCCTTAGTTTAGGGTCAGTTTTGCTTCCAGTGCTCCCTGGGGTGCTGCTTTTAATAATAAATCAAGCTAATAGTGCTATATTTTAGGAAACAAATCCATATCCTTTCAAGCATCCATTACTACCTCTCTTGTAGTCAACTTTTAATTAGGCAAAGGTTATTGAATCTCAGGTCTTCTGAAACTTAGATACATATTTTTTAAAGTTGTTTTGTTCTAAGTTATGGCTGCTCAAAATAACCCTGCAGTCTTATGATTTTTATGTAATGAAGGACAAACAATGTTTAAATGTTACCATCACCTGAATTATCCTTATACATTTTACTCAAATGTGAGCTTGGGCACTTGTTATTTTTTCCCAGATAGTGCCGAGATTAAACCTGGTTGCACCAAAACTCATGTTTTACCTTAACAGAGTACAGAGGAGGACCAGAAGAATATCACTGGAGGGTTTTATGAGTTTTGCTTCAGATTGAAAAAGGAACTAATTTTCTCATCATTTTATTCTTGTTCAGGCTGAACCATTACTCAAGACTTCCTACACCGGGTAGTACAGAGCATTTTACAATTTCACTTTAAATCCAAAAAAAGCCTAAAATTTTTGACCAGATGATCTCTAGACGTCCCTTCCAACCTCAGCCATTCTGTGACTCTGTGACTAAAACACTCATTAAATATCACAGTAGTCTTTTGAGATATAGGTACTTGAAGTTGAGATTTATAATCTATCTACTTGAACTGTTTCTAGTTATGTCCTTCCTTGTGCATTACTTTAGCAAACTTAAGGCATTTGCTCTGCCACTGGATAATACAAATTTTTCTTACCCCAGAGCTACCCTGTCTTTGGACTTCATTGTTCTTCACCTGTCCAGGCCCTTCTGTTTTTCCTCTACTCTGTAGCAGTGGCCCAGTTTAAGTATCTGTATGAAAAAAAAGGAGGGGGGAGGGAAGTCTGTAAAAACTGCTTTTTCTCTCTGTGCCTGGGTTGAGTGGTGTTTATCTTTTACCTCTTCTGTAAACATTAAGTATTGAATTTAAAAATAAATGAAGAATATGCTTAGGGTTTTATGTCTATGTGTATTTATCTTAATATAGCTGTTCAAAATCTCTGCCTTTCAGTAGAACTAAAAACCTATGCAATTAAATTCTTTTAAGATTACAGACGATAAACCAAAACTAAGGATTACCACAGCATGAAAGTTGAAAAACCAGTCGAGGTGCAGAGACTGGTAAGCGATGCTTAGAAAGCACAGCTGAAGATTTAGCTGACTTAAGCAATTCAGTGCTAATGAAAGCAAGCTCTGCTGATTCATTCCCACACTGAACCCGGCACTTAAGGCCTATGGTGAAATCATACTGCAGGTCTGGCCCCTGGTGCCTCCAGGTGTTCTGGTTCCCTATGCACTCCATGCTGCAGCTCTTCCTGGTGCCTCAGCTGAGGATGTAACTGGGAGCCAAATCACCTGAAATTGAGAGCTAGGATCTAATACCCGCAGTTAAAATTTAAGCAGTACTCAAAATAGCTTTATATGACAGTGAAGCACAAAACTAAGAAGCCAGCAAGGCACAAGTTGAGGGAAATAGACAACCTCAAGGTAAATGTGCTGCTACAAAGAGTATGACATTTGGGAAAGCAGTTTAACACACAACTTTTTTCAGTAGTTAATAGGGTTTTTTTGATGAAGCTTACAATCAATATATTTAGTTCTATATACACTCTTTATTTATATATACAAGCTGGTACTTAGGAAACACAATATAGATTTAAGAACTTCATCTGTAACTGAAGAACATGTTCCCCCCCAGATATACCTCTCAATACAACGTATCAATATTAATCAGCACAGGGGATATAGTATAGTTAGTTCATTAATCATTAATGATGGCTAACAGTTCTCTAAAAGTCTAGACATGAAACATACTCTCACATATAAAGAGCATTTAGCTGGAAGGACTATTAAAGTGACTCGGAGCCATGCTGACATGGAAACAGAATGTAGTCCAAAATCTTTCCTTGCTTCACATAAAACTGAATTTGGGATGGGAAAATTCCTGGCTAATGTAAGCTTTGTTCATAAAATAGTTTATATTCTTTAAAAACCCTTTCAAATAAAGAAGAGGGCTCATGTAATTGCCTTTCATATAGGATTCTTCATTCCACAAGAAGCAAACTGGGGACAGTGCCATCCAAGTTCCTAAAACTGACTTTTTTTTTTTTTTTTTTTGTAAAGGCCTACAAAACTCATATCCAGAGTTTAGTATTTCAGTCTCAATAGCTTGCAAGGTAAGCAGCGGGTAAGCAATCAACTGCCAATTAATGTACTAACAACTTCGCTACAACTGCCAAGAACTTGTGGTCATATCCTTAAGTTGGGTAATCAAAGAGTAAGCTCTGCGTCAAGAGTCAATGCCAGATCAGTTAGTGTGCAGCTTATATTAAACATCTTTAAAGCTTACAGAGGAGGTGGCTGTTCCAGGATTCAGAAGGACAGAGCAGAGAGGGCCATAGCTGAGAAGTCCTTCTAAAAATAGTGCACTTGGCACATACAGTTACGTAGGGGTAGAATTTAACAGTTTGTTTTCAATCCTACAGCGCAGCACTCTTCTACTGCTTGCTTCATACTCTCAGAGGTGGGATAAGTATGGATTAGAAAACCTTTATAATCATGTACAGAAGAGTCTTTAAAAGGAAAGATAAACACATTAAAATACCATTGCCCACTAAACCGCAAGTATATATGTTACACTAACTTTCTGGCTAATACTATACATCTAAATTGAAATCTAGTAAATATAAACATTGATTGATTCAAGTACACCTACCTCCTGGTGCCTCTGTCAACTTGTAAATTTTGCAATTTTATTTTCTTGATCTGTTACTGAATTCCTCTCCCATTTCTCACTCTCATTTTGGATCCAAACAGATGAACCAAATAATTAGACAGACAAAATGGGTAATTAGTTACGTATTTCAATTATTTTAAAAAAACAGAATACATCTGTGAAGAAAGAATACTCCAATCCTGAAAATTTTAAGCTATAAAATATTATCAGAGATACTACAAAATATTATCAGAGCAAACACAAAACAAAACAAAAAAATCTGCAGTTTCTCAGAGAAGCCTGTCCAATGATTTCCTTCTAGCAAGTGGAGTTTTTTTTTTTTTCTCACCACTTCAGAATGCTCCAATTTCTGTCTTGAAAAATGGAAAAGCAACAGGGTGAAGCTTTTCCCAGTTATGTTCAAGCTACCTTGTTAAGAACACATTAAAGAAACTCACGCTGGCATATATTCTGAGAACTACGGCACCAGTATGACTGAACTATATTTAAATTAAAATTAATTTCCACAATTTTGTAATATTAAAGCTAAGAGATACCTTAAGTTTAAAACAACTATTGTGTTTCTTCCAAAGTAACTTTATTGCACAACTCATACACAAATTATAATATGCTGGAATGTCCATACCTATTAATATAATTTGTAATGCTTAAATTACAATTTCACATTAGATCTGTAAGAAAACTTGATGTTAGCACAAGAAATTTCAGTTTGTTCTAATGCCCCTTATTAGCAGCTGTTGACAGTAATCACATTTTCAAGGCCTGGCTCCTGGAATTCATTATCATGTCCCCGCCAATGTGATTCCCTTTGCTCTTCCAAAATTTTGTTTGCAAAATGTAGGAATTGAGACTAGGAAATACTGTCAGTACCGAATTACTAGTTTTGCAGTGTTAGTGAATTTATATTCCTTATAACATACAGTACATATATTTTACAAGGCACACATCACACCTACATCACAGCAGTGTGTATTACAGCAACTTAATTTAAAAAAGCTGTACAGAATAATTTTACTTTTTTATTATTTAAATAATTTTGCATTATTTTATAATTACAAACGCTATTATACTGTACTTAATCTGCATTCATTACAAAATTACATTTTAAGAAGTTCATGTAAGTTTTCAGCAGAAAGTCAACTTATAAAAGTCTGAGTTCAGAAGTGCAGTACTAGAAATATTTGAAAAATAAATTAGCTTGAAGCTTTAATTTAGATGCTTTTTCTGTTCCAGTGATACAAAAAACAGTTTAAAAATTCTGAGCTTATTTTAAAGTTTTGAATATGGACTGATGCAGGCTCAAAAAGAAGAAAAAAAGTTATGTTATTAGGAGTATTTGCAAAAAAGAAAAATTGTGAACAATCCCCAACCATTAATAATTTCTAAGCACATACAATGGCTCTTAAGCAAACAAACAGTCCATACGTTTTCTGAAGAATAAAGAATCTCATTGTTATCAAAGGATTAACAAAGGAGGAAAATAGTTCCAAGACATGTACATTCATAAATGGATTTTTGAATAGTTAAATACAGATTTACACACTAAGCCATACTGGCTTTTAGATGATTGATATACATGAGACAACTATGCTGCTCATCTGTCCTAATGTCTATGATAAGTGGATAACATGAGCCAAGTTCAAATAGGTGTCATATGCTGTAATAGTTCCTCAATGAAGTATAATAGATATTTGGTCCATAACATCATTTAATTTTTGTGTAGCGAATTAGGGAGAACAACCTACAGATAGGTGTTGATGTCTTGTAGATCTGATCTTGTGGATCAGAACCCGTCCCTGACAAAAGGCCTCTGCCTGACATTACTGAGTTTTAACAAGTACGGGAAATAAAAGTGCAGTTTTATAATCAAGACTTGTTGATAGTTCTTCTAATGCTACACTTGCGTATTTTTGACTCATCAGCTCAAATTTAAAGAGCAGTATTTGTTAATAGCAACCTCTCCTCCCTGCAGATGATATTTATTAACTCTCTCTTTAGTGGCAGTTTTGATTTCCATAATAGTTATGCAGACCAGACTTCAGATGGGTTTCCTGAATACTAATGATGACAATTTATTTTATACTTTCTAAGGCAACTCTTGGAAGATTTGACCTTGCTAAACACAGAAATGCACAGACTTACTCCTATTGTGATATCCCTTTCCCCAAGTTGTCAGATGCACATCTCTGCAAGCCCAGAGCTGTTATCAAAGTAGAAGTTACTCTCTGCTACATAAAAGCATATTGCACTTGTAGATAAAAAGCACAGCACCCTTAGGTTAGCTTATGACCTTATAGCCTTAGCATGCATGATTTCATCCCTTCGAAAAATGAGGAAAAGCAGATAAAACCACAGCATCAGACTAAATGACATCTTAACTGCTACCTAAATATAGTAATTCTTTTCAGATGTTTAAAAAAAATTTTTTAATCAAAAAGCTATAGAAAAACGAATTTTTTTAGGATTGCAGATGAAACTGTTTAATGTTTCCAAGCTAAAGAGACTGTGCTAAATATCAAATTTTTTAAAAAAGGTATATTCATAGAGGTTATCTTGTTAGGAGGATAAGGAAAAGCACAAGTACATTTACAAAGCTGTCTATGCTCTCCAAAATAGATTTAAAATAATCAATACTAAAAATTAAAATGGCTCAGGTGTGTTTATCAGGACTTGTAAACACTATAGGGAGCAATAACTTACTACTGAAGAATTATCAATTGCTAGTACTCAAGTTCTCAATTTCAGCAGCAAAATTTCAAATTAACAATCACCAGTCCTAACTCACCATCTTTATTCATGTTTGTCAGGAAAATAAAAGAGGCTGCTTTTAAGGATAAGAGTTACGAGGTTCAGCAATCTAACCTCACAGTTTATACCTATTTAGATTCCTGTAGCAGTGCATTTTGTGATGCTCCAACAGCAGCTGTACTAATATAAATAGCTTAATTTAGTAGTCAAATTGATACTTAATAATAGCTGTAATCATTGTTAAAATAATCTCTGTTAATGTTAATAATCAAAGAGTTTTCTGAAACTACAGATTAATAATTAAGACTACACACATGTATACTGGCTTTTATACCCTGTGTTTTAAAAGAGCAGCATAGATTCACAGCAGCCAAGAAGACAAGTAGAAGACAGGAGCGGTGGAAGAATGACAACGGGAGATAAAAACAGATATTCATGAAAATGAAAGCTTCAAGTGCTCCTACTATTGCCAGCTTGTTGGCCAGTGTCAGGGTCTGTGAGGCTGGCCTGCCTCATCTACCATGTTAAGTATGTAAGTAGCGATGTCATCTTCCGTAGGGGCATCTGAAACTACCCAAGAATCACTTGCTCCAGTCACTTGCAAACGGCAGATAGGACAGCTCCTATGACGATCACTCCTGTTCAGGAAGTCAGAAAAACAAGTATTTTTCATTTATGATCTCATCCTGGCTGAAAGAACCCCCCAAAACCCTAGCGCTCTTCCCCACACTGTGGACAGATTGATTGGACTAGATCACCTATAGCTTATACGCTTGTTTCAAATTTTGCTAATTCTTCATTTTTTCATATACTCAGCTGGGCTACCTCGGAAACTAGTCCCCATAGGTTTCCTATGTAAAGAGAAAGAGGAGTCTTCTGTAGGTTCCATTCAGTCCATTGAAGTTTGAAATCAGCCCCTCAAGGCTCTATCTCTCCCTCCTTCTAGGCCCCCCAAAATATGCTTCTAAACCCAAAACCTGTTAGGGAGCTATAAGAATAGCCTCCATGTTAAGCATTTGAAAGTCACAAAACAAAATTCATATGCACAAAACATTTGACTTCAATGTTAAATGATTTAACTAGGTTAAAAAAAAAAAAAAAGCCTTTATCTGAGAAGATCCCTATCAACTAGTGCTAGGCTGCCAGAACACCTGCCTAGTTCCTGCAGGACTTCCTTACGATGAGTGGAGAGAGCTATGGTCCTCCCCAGAGCGATTTTTCTCTTTCTCTCAGATTTCAAGCAACTAATTTATTAGATTGATATAGCAGCTGAAAAGCTATTCAGTTCAGTATTAGACTGAACATATATTGTAAGATGGTAACTATATATAAATTTCAATGCATTGCTATCATTCATTGCTATCAAGATGAAATCTTCTAGGAAAACTGATACATTTAATTAGTAAATTGAGTGAAAGCATAATATATGGGAAAAAAGTCCCTGATGGTTATTCCCCATACAGTAATAAAATGGTCCAACTTGCCTTTACATTTCTACACTCTTAACAAACAACTGATTCATTTTCTTTAAAAGCAGCATTGTATAAGATTTTGTGAACCATATCAAGGGGTTAGGATCAGTGCCACCCTCTTTTCTCCAATATTCGAGCAAGGATGCAAGAACAGTATTTTACAAGACTACTACTACAGAGGTAAGAAATTATCAAAAAATGTTTAAAAAGCATGCTCACAGGTTTTTTTTCCCAAAATGGAATTCTGCATAAGATGCTTACACATTCTGAAATCTTTCCTTCCTTCTGCTGCAATCTAATTTCATAAAAGCTTCTTATCTATTACATGTACATTATCTCATAAATATCTTCAGACATTAAATTATAAGGGAACTGAAGAAGTGGTCAGATCAACCCCAAACATGTCAGATTCCCAATATATAGCGTAAAATAATGAATATTCCTTAACATGTATTACCATTTGTCAATGCATTTCTGGCAGAAGCTGTGAGCACATGGCAAGATCAAATCAGCACGCCCATCCATGCAGATGCAGCATTCCTCTTCATCTGTCAGCTGTTTAACCCTGTACAAGAAAATACAGTATTTTCTCCCACATTACTAGTAATGTTTTATATTTATGACCTGATTAGCTAAGATATTTTTCTTCTGCTATATGACCAGACTAGTTACTACATTTGTCATAATAGCTAATGAGGGACTGACGGTATCCACAGGTATCCACCTGTGCTTATCTACAATAAAATTTGTAATTTTGTGGATGAAGTAGTTAGATCATTCTGGATCTAACTGGATAAGTCAGGAGACAAGGCCTTAAGATATCGAAGAGTAGTAAATGAACTCAAATTTAAGGAAGAATATGCTTATTTATTTATTTATTGTGCATCAGGTTATGCTTTTGGTATTAAAATGTATTATGCAAACTGTTTTTCATAACAAGTGAAGCATGAGAAGTTATAACTTATATACCACACGACTGGGCCAACGAATGGAATCACTGTTTACATTAAAGGCAGAAGAAATCTGCCTCCCTTTGACAAAGTGCCAGGCTAAATTATTTCAGAATGAACTTTGTCAAATTTCTCTGTACAGACTTGCAACCTAGATAATGTGACAAAACCACATCTGGTAAGAGGATCACCACTAGATTGCCTGCTCGCTAATTCCACCTGGATGATAACTCAGATTTTGAAATTTGCTAGTGTACAGAGAGGCAATTATACTTAAAACAGGAGCACACTATTTATCAGCTTTCTGGAATCTGAGATTTACCCATAGGATTAAGTTGTGAAAGAAATAGAAAAATACAAGAGTGACAAACCAAGGAAATGCTTGTTTCTTCAATATCAGGAGCAAGGCACTTACAGATACTTTGGAATGCTCTGTTTAGGAAGTGGATGTTCTAAAGAAATCGGATATTATTCCAGTGGAAGAAGTTAAGATAAAAACAAGAATTAAAAGAATAATATTTGCTATTTTTGGATAATGACTGCCAGCTCTTGTAGAGCTAAAAAACATCTAAAGGTGAGAAGAATTTAAGTAAATGTGAGGATTTCACAGAAAAACAGAATATAAGATTTCCTAGGTATAAAATACTGAAAAGCTTCAGTCTTCATTCATTTTGTGTCTTGGAAAAAAATACAACAAAACGTGTCTTGGGGTAAAATAGAACAATGTGCTCACTAAATTCCAGCATTCCAGTATCAAAATGTATTGAAAAAAATGTTATTGTCATTTGTCAGTAATACCACTTCAAGCAATTAAGTTTAAAAACACAAACTCTGGGTGTTCACTTTTCCCCATCTCAAATCTAAAAACAAAAAAAAGAATTTAATCTAGGAAATCCTGTATGTACCTATCAACTTTAGCTATATATAAGTTTGTTTTGCATAAGAACTTTTTTTTTCCCCCCTAAGTAAAAGAGCTTTTCTAGATGTATACGTGCTCAAAAATATAAGCCTTTATCTTTAAGAAAGGGCAGGGAAGTACCTTTTTCCAAACTTGCCCACAATTTGCTACCTAATGCTAGCATTTTAATAATTCCGGACAGCCATAATTTAAAATTATCCATTCCCAAACAACAAAAGCAGAAAACAAATGAAATAAAAAGCATATTCTGCAAAATTCTGACACAGAAAAAATCAATGGATTCTATTTACTGACAAGGTAGTCAACATATTTCTCATTCTAACCACTAGAGTGTGACATTTTTAAAGGCAGTTTTTGAACCATCTCAATAACATGTTAAAACTCCTAGCTATCAATTCTTCATTAAATTATACCATAAAGAAATAGAGCATGGCTTCACAGAGAACTACTCCATTTTTTTTCTAAAATCTACCTCAAGACTGAAGTTAGAACTCTGAACTAACTTCAAAAATCAGAAGGCAACATTTCCACATAGGGAAAGGATGAGAAGATTTTTGCTGTAACATCTGAACTAAAGTTATTGCAGGTGTTGACCTCATTTTTTTTGCTTTTCCTCTAGTTACGAAAGCAGGATGTCAACATGTGTGAGACGGTTCACATTTTTCCAGTCTTGCCAGTTAAATTATTACTGCAATTGATGAGTTTCTAGTGGCAACAGATGGGAACTTTCACATGCCAAAATGTGAAAAAGGAAGAGAAAGTTTAAGTGGAACAATAACAAAACCTGTTTAAACAAACACTGTCAAAAGCCATAGATTTGTAGCTGCAGCTGATTCCATTTCCTCCTGTTTCCTTATTTGAGAGATTCAATATATACCAAGTTTATATTAGAGGTGGCCACTAAAAAAGCTTCTTCTGAAGCCCAAGTAGGGGTAGCACCAAAACAAATTTATCCAAGTACTTTGTAGCTCTCCTGTTACAAAAGGAGGTGTGCTATGAATATTTGATACAATTTGATGATACAAAGTCTACATCCGGCAACCACATGCAGCTTTAGCGGCTAGATGTCTGTAGATCAGGTTTGACACATAACTGCCGAACTATTAATGTTGTAACTGTGGTCAGAAGCTAAAGTATATCAGAATACCTTCCCATCCATAAGCTGGCCTGACAAGATGACACAGACGTAAAACACTCAGCAGTTTCTTCAGAGGCACCACTACGTGCAAGAACTCCTGCTGCTTGACTGGTGATGTCTTTATAAAGTTGAATGAACTGATACAAGTTCAAGATCCTGGAAGCTTCCACGATGCCACTTGTTTTATTTATCTTAAGATACAAGAAAATATTAACAATTATGTATTAGGTTTGTATTTGACATTGCTTGTTTTTTGTGTGCACTGCATTTCTCATGGAAATAGCCACTTTGCAATTTTAGCATATCTGGCTCCACTTCAGTAAGATCTGCAGAGAGACCTCCTTCCCATTTTGTTAAGAAAAAATATCACAGCCGGAACTCATTTACATGACAAGACAATTAGTGTCACTAGCTGATGGGCTTAAGTTATAACCAAATGGGGACCTGATATGTGTGAAGTGGGTTAATGTTAGTACAAGAAACAGAATGATATTTATTTCACTTTTGGAACTTAAAATTGTCTGCAATAATGGTTCCCTTAATGAAAATTTTATATCTCATTACCCAAAAAATAAACAAAAACTCCCTTCAAGTAGATACTAAAAACAAAAACCAGACCAAAACAAAAAAGCTTAAGAGCCTAATTTGAACTCCAAGAATTAAAATTGCTTAGTAACTTCAGGATCATCTGAGGAAGTTACTTGATAGGAGACTGAGGGGGAAAAAAGGAGTCTCCAAGTTAAAATAGAAATTTGGTCTTCAAACTAACAGGTATTTAATTTCTGGCCATTCTTAAATATATATATATATATATATATAAAGAAAAATCAAGCTGCATACAGTTATACTAGTTCAATTAATAATGCTTGAATCTGCTAACTAATTTCAACTACCAAACTACACAGTTGCCAGTTTGTTGCACTACTTGATTTCCAGAGCTTAACCTCATAAATCAACTTAAAACATAATCACCATGCAGCAATAACGTTCCCTTAAATTCAGTCATGAAAATATCTTTGTTGATGCACTTCTTACAGAAAACTAGATTTAAAGCTTAATTTCAAATAACATTTAATATATCATCTGTATCAAAGTACCTTTTTTAACAGCTGTGTGATTTTACCAGCAAGTAATGCCCCCAAATATTTTCACACACACGCACAAAAACAAAGGCAAAAATTTTCACACTCTTACTTTAGTACAGACTATCCGAACAATCACTTTCCAGAGAGCAGAAGAATCAGAACCTGGCTGCACTTCAAATAACAGATGTTTGTCTTGTCCAGAATACAACTTTGCAGTACTGAAGAAGGGAAAAAAAAAAAAAAAAAAAAGAAAAAAGAAAAAAGAAAAATAAGCCTACCATCATATACTAGATACGCAAAGATGAAGAACCTCAGATATTCTATTTTTATTGTTTACCTTTCTGCTTTTTACCCTTAAAGAAGTTTTAGCATAACTGCCCAAACAGATACAGGAAAATTAAGAATAGTGACCTCCTTTGCGTGTCCTTCAATATAAAACACACAGTTCATTTAACTGTAATTTGCACAGTGTATTTCACAAAATGATGTGCAAGTTTTCTGATCCACCATGAGGAAATAGGTATCCTTTATAGACATTATATTTTCATTTATATATAATGTTACCGTTTGTTAGAGTAATTGTGCAATCTTGTAATCCTTTGCAAACTAGCAACCTAGCAAACTATTTATGTAGAGTGTATGGGAAAACCATGCAACACTAACTGAAGCAAATAAGGTGTATCTTTGTTGGCATATATTAGTAGTAAGGGAGCAAGCTTCACCTGATCCTGATTTTTTAATGGAACACAGGCAAAATGATCTTTTCCTTAAGAATCAGAACTAGGTATTTTACTTTCAAGCTGAAGTAAAGGCTGCAAAGAAATAAAAACCTTGATTTACAGGGATATATTGCAGATAATTTAAGTATATTTTAGTATGATTTAACAGATGCAATATAAGTTAATGTTCTTCAAAACTTAAATAAGTTACCTGCTCAGAAGACAGCTACCTGTTATTGAAGGTGCAGTAGTGCACCATCTAGTAAAAGCATAAAATTATACAAAGCAATTTCTAAAATGAAAATAAATTAACATTACAACTAAACATCGAACACCACCAAAACCTGCACACTACATAACCCCTTTTAAGCATTTACTTTTCCCCTTGACCTCATTATAGACTATAAAAATTGAGTGAAAATAGCAACTCTGCTGTTTGGTTGGCTTCTTTTAGCTGTCAATATACCAGTTATACAAAAGATAGGCTATAAAAGCCTCTCTCACACAGCCTTTTGTTTAGAATTATCTTGGTCAGTGGTTTCCAAACACACTGCCTCATCACTTTTTTAATGAGGAACATGACCAGAGAGTAGGAGAAGAAGAGAAAGTAAGGCTTACACATCATTAAGCTCAGCCACTCTTCCCAGAAATTCTTCATACGTTAAGAAACCACTTTCTCGAACCAGAGAGGCATGCTTGGCTACTTTTTCTGGCAACTTATTAATTACAGTTTGTGTCTGGTTTGAAATATGTTGACCCATGTTGAAATTCTTCACCTCAGTTCCATACAAGGCAGGTCTCATTCATATGTAGGATCTCTGCTAAAAATATTTTAAAGAGTAAAAGTTATATTTGAGTGTTTTAAAGAAAACTGCTCCTATTTTTCTTCTTTCAGTGTAAGAGTTTAACTGCCCTCAATCAGTCTAATAATTCAAGGAACAACCTGAATGACAGTCAAACTGGAAACAAGGCAGAACACTCGAAAGAAACTGGGATGTAGCATTAATAACTTAGAAAAAGAGTATTATTTTTCTTTAAGCATTATTTGTATTAAACAAAAAAAAAATCATACAGATTTTTCAAGAACCCTAACACATATGTAAATACATGTGATGTATTTACAATCATGATGACAATTTACAAGATGCTGACCATTTATGATAATCTTTGATTTAAAAAAAAAAAAGTGTGAAACTTAATATAAAAATAGGCACACTAACATCTATACGTACACAGACATTTTAAGTTAGCTTTCATATTTCACCTGCACAAAAGATGACATTTTTAAATTGGTAATACAGGAGACTCACATCAGCCTAAATAAATTCAAAAATCGGTGAAACTGGCCCAGTCCTTATGTGTGCAAAATCATGAACTGTTCAAGAGATCATATTCTGCAACGTTTTCTGCAAGGATATGAAATTTATAAACAAGATTCTGCAAAACAAACAAAAATCTGTACAGCCATGTTTTCTGCTCTAGCCATCCTGCCAAGCCTCACTGGTAGTCTGCTCTCAAGACTCGGTTGTGGTTTGCGTTACAGTACTCGCTAGTTAAACCTCCCTGATCTTAACTGTTTCACCTTTCCTTTACACTCCAGAGTCTGCAAAAGATTCTGCCCTACATTCTGATTCTGAAAAAGTCTTTATTCCTTTCCTCCTGTTGTTCCCTCCTCATCTGACACTTCCCCAAAACTTCTCTCTGCCCTTTAATAATGGGCAAAGGGGGGCAAATTCTTTCTGCCCACGCAGAGTTTGCCACTGCTAGTGACACTCACTAGTTTCACTTTCTTTAAGACTTCTATACATAAAAGTTTCAAATAGCAAAACAACCTTACTACAACCTTAATTAGAATAACATATGATCTGATTCTGTGTGTACCATAAACATTCTACAGTTATGCAAAAACAGAATTTCACCCTGCGTGTATGTAAAGTTTGTGTGTAAACGTTACCAAGAAAATAGCCTACAACTGTCAGGAAGTTTACTACCATGCTGTAAGAACTGAAAAAGTACATTCTTATCCCACTATCTCACGAAATGTTCTAGTATTTTATCTAGAAGAATTAACTTCAAATTTAATGCTTTAATTTTGATTAATCTCTGTTCTTGGAAAGCTGCACTCCCACAGAAATCTCTCCTCCTCGCAGCCTACCCTCCAATCTCTTCCTCACGAGCTCCCTAGTCCTCGTGCTTGGCACACCCAGGAGATACCCCTGAGGAACAACCTTTCAGTGGAAAAACCTTCTGCCCTTCAAGCACAACCTACCTCCTATCTTCCATTTCTGTGTTCCCTCTAATTGCTTCCTGTAGAAGCAGAGTACGAACTAATAAAACAAAGCTAAAGCACAGAATAGCTTAGACAAAAATAATTTAGCTCCTAGTTAAAAATATTGCAATAGTGTTTTTTTTTCTTCCCAAATTCAAAATCACACACCAGACCTATCAGCAAGAAGACTGGTAACGAAGAGAGGCACCCCAGGAGAAAAGGCAGGGTAAGCAAACCGAAACGAGGGCCGCGGGCAAGAGCAAACAACACAACCGCGTTCAGGGGAGGGCCGAAATGGGCGCTCCACGCTCGGCCACCAGACCATCAGGGCGCAGTAGCCGTTACCGCCCGGCTATAACCGTTGGGCCGCACTCAAC